GCGTTCTCGCTCAGCACAGTGGAGATTTCTCTAGTTATATCGTTTCAGTCGTTTGTTATGCAGTGACATGCAGTCAAATATTTCACCAAACAGTCCTTAGGGATGCGGTGACACGCAGTCAGATATTTCGCCGAACATATCCTCCACTTTTAGCGCTCATAAACAATCATAAAGCCCTCGTGCTGCAGGAATGAGGAGGTCTGCTGACATGAGGGGTTTGCGTATTTGATAAACTATGGCAGTTTGCGTTCATTGAACAGTAAGAATGATTAATAAATCCATATGAAACAGTCCCTTAGTCACGTCTCGCTTTCAGTTTCGGGCTTTGGCGCGTTTTGCACTCACACTACAAACGTACGGCGCAAAAGCCCAAGTGAACCGCGCTCAGGCCCACCTCTTCCAACCGGCCAAGTGAACCGTGCTTGAGGGAAACCGGGCCTGGGCACGGTACGGATGGCATAGTGCGAGTATGCCCTTATTCAGAAAATGTACTGGCAGGTCATTACAAGGTTTGTGTAGCGTAATATACAACACCAACTCAGACAATATCACTTTAAACTATTAAAAATGTTTATAAAAGTCACTTATCCCAACTTTTTTCAAGGTTAAAAGTTGTTGGAAGCAAGATCAGGCTCCCATAATGTGATTCAAAGCATAAATAAACAAACAAAAAAAAAAACAATTAAATAAACAAATCGCAAAATATGGAAAACGGCTGATTTACGGATATTTTTACAATGTATAATACAAGCTTAAAATAAGGCCAAAAAAGAGCATTGCTGTAATCTCATTAGGAAATGTTGTGGCCAATCAAATGATCCCATGTGCAACACATCAATCTGTGTTTGTGTCTGTTTTTCACTGGGATTTTTGTCTTGAGAATGAAGAAACAATAGTGTTGGAGGCTATAAATAGTTTTAATGTATTAAACTGTTATTATTCAGCTGGATTTTTATTCTATGGCATCTTTAAAGTGTCTTTTTGCTGGTGCAGAAAGGGTAGTTTCTGATTGTCAATCTCTAGTTTGCTGCTCAAACATGTACACCCTCTGCGTGTCGTTTCTTGTTGACATTCTGGAAGGTTTCGAAAGCGCTCAGCTGCTCTTCTGCATTTCCTCAAGTTTTTGTGTGCTGCTTCTGTTTCTATGTGTGTGTATGTGTGTGTCTGTGTGTGTCTCTCTCTCTCTCTGTGTGTGTGTGTGTGTGTGTGTGTGTGTGTGTGTGTGTGTGTGTGTGTGTGTGTGTGTGTGTGTGTGTGTGTGTGTGTGTGTGTGTGTGTGTGTGTGTGTGTGTGTGTGTGTGTGTGTGTGTGTGTGTGTGTGTGTGTGTGTGTGTGTGTGTGTGTGTGTGTGTGTGTGTGTGTTGTTGAAGAAAGTGCAGTTTCTATCCGCTTCCTCTTTCCTGTTTGAGATTATGTCAGATGTACAGTTGAGAGCCATTAGTTAGCTTTTTAATTACTGGTATCTTTCTTTTTCATTTGTTTTGGGGGTCAATATGACTAGAGTCTATTGGATTTTATAGTTATTTTAGTGTTATTTATATACTATTAGTACAATCTGAGTAATTGAATGATCATTTGTGCTCTTTCAATTTTAATTTAGATTTTAGTTTTGGTGATTTTGCAATGTGCTTTTGCTGCTTTTTTATCATTTTAATACATATTATTGAGTGTTGTATTTGTATAATTAAAAAAAAAAAAAAAAAAAAAAAAAAAAAAAAAAATATATATATATATATATATATATATATATATATATATATATATATATATATATATATATATTTACATTTTTGGTATTTTTATAAAAGTTTAAATTTGAAAATTACTTTCCACTTATTGGTTATTTTTATTTTATTTTAATATTTTTACTCAAATTTATTTGAGTGCGACACCCAGGCTAGCCAGATACTAGGTTTTGTCTTCTTTCCCTTGTTTAAAGGCCCATTACTTCACAGATGACACCCAGTTATCTTTAGAGCATTAGATTTTAGAGCCATGGTGTACAGCAGATGACCATTTTCTGAATGACCCTTCTTGTAAAATTTCTTTTTGTATCATCTTATGCTAAGATAGGGCTTGCTTATGCTAAGATAGGGCTGTTTTTCTCACTTTTCTCACTTTGTCCTAATCAAGGGCACGCTGAGGGGGTGTTTTTTTTTTGTTTGTTTTTTTTGCCTAATTGTCCAAATGTATCTTTCTTCCTTTCTAAATGCTACCTCCTATGATCTGTCTCCCCTAAAAAGTTGTTTGTGATGTTTTGTGTATGGTCTGGGGGGGTCCAATTTCGCTATACGAAAGTGTAGTAATAAATAAAGGCTTGATAGATTGTTTAGGAAGGCATATATTTCTTAATTTAGTGCATCCGAAAAGTGTCCCCTTCACTTTTTCTAATTTTTTTTATGTTAGTCTTATTCCAAGATGGATTAAATTAATTTAGTTCCTCAAAATTCTACACACAATACCACATAGTGAAAACAGATTTGTTGAAATTGATGCAAATCTATTAAAAATAAAAAGCCTGAAAAGTCACATGTACATCAGTATTCACAGCCTTTGTTGTGAATCTCTAAATTGAGCTCAGGTACATTTTGTTTCCACTGATCACTCTTGAGCTGTTTCAGCAGCTTCATTGGAGTTCACCTTTTTTAAATTCAGCTGATTGGACATGATTTGAAAAGGCATACACCTGTCTATGTAAGGTCCCACGGTTGACAGTGCATGTCAAAGCACAAACCAAGTAGGAAGGCAAAGGAATTGTCTGTGGACCTCCGAGACAGGATTGTTTCGAGGCACAAGGCTGGAGAAGGTTACAGAAAAAAATTCTGCTGCTCTGACTCTGAGAGTTCCAGTGAGCACAGCGGCCTCCATCATCCGTAAGTGGAAGATGTTTGAAACCACCAGGACTCTTCTTAGAGCTGGCCGGCCATCTAAGCTGAGTGGTCGGGGGAGAACTATGACTAGATATTTTTTTCAAGACACTTCTATACAGCTTTAAGTGACATTTAAAAGCTTAACTAGGTTAATTAGGGTAACTAGGCAGGTTAGGGTAATAAGGCAAGTTATTGAGTAATACTGATTTGTTCTATCGGTGAAAAAATAGCTTAAAGGGGCTAATAATTTTGACCTTAAAATGTTTTTTTTTTTAAATGAATAACTGGTTTTATTCTAGCTAAAATAACTAAAGACTTTCTCCATAAAAAAAAATATTATCAGACATAGTGTAAAAATTGCCTTGATCTGTTAAACATCATTTAAGAAATAATTAAAACAGGAAAAAAAATTCTAATGGGGGCTAATAATTCTGACTTCAACTGTGAGTGTTATTGTTTGTTTGTGTTTTCATTCATAATTATACACATTTCATCAACGTTAGACATTTTGACAATTTTAGTCAAAATTGAGTTCATTTAATATAATTTAATATTTTCAATATGGTTAGAATTAAGATTTTTTTAGGATTATTGTTTGTATAGAAATATGTGTTTTCTTTCACGTTTGTATTATTGAATTATTTATGAGCTATTTTTTTTTTTTTTTTGTCAAATAAGTTTTATTGATGAAGACAGATTCAAGACAAAATTAATTCTGTTTACATATTTTGTCCACATATAACATAGGCACAGCAAATAAGGAAAATTAAAAGGAGAAAATTAAAAATTAAATAAATAAAATAAAAATAAAATCACCCACCCACATAACAAGCAAACTTGTTACAAAGACCTGTTTGAAAAATAGAGTATGATGACAAAGCATGTTAAAACATTACAGAAATGATGCATTATTATGAGTTTTTTTTCAAGGTAACAGATAAAGGGATTCCAAATTTTGTCAAATTGTTCCAGTTTTCTTTTCAAATAGTATCTAATTCGCTCCAAATGTAACATAGAAGCAATTTCTCCAAGCCACAGTTTACATGTAGGGGATTCCTTATTTTTCAAAAACAGTAGCAGTAGCTTTTTGGCAGTAGTTAAGCAGTATGAGAGCATTTTATGTTGTGTATTTGACAACAAATGTGTTTGTTCAGAGAATCCCAGAATTACAAGCATTGGATCTGGTTGTAATTGCAACTTCAACACTTCGGAAAGCACATCAAAAATTCCATTCCAATAATTCTGTATCTTAGAACAAAAAATAAAACTGTGAGATAGATCCGCATCTGATGAATTACATTTGTCACAAAGAGGTGAAATATTTTGGGAAATTCTATGTAATTTTTTCTTTGAATAATGTAACCTATGAATTATTTTAAAATGTATGAGCTATTTTAAGCAACATACAAACGGCCTCCAGTTTCCCTCATGAATCTTCAGGGATTTTTGAACCTCAGATTAGTAAAGCTTGTTATTTTAATAAAAAAAATATACTTTCGTAGTCGTGTAAAGCCTTTGCATAATGGCAGTGGTTTGTCTGTTTCATAAAGTGTCTACATATACAGTTGAAGTCAGATTTATTTATTTTTTTCAATATTTCCCAAAATAATGTTTAACAGAGCAGTGGTTTTATTTATTTATTTATTTATTTATTTATTTATTTATTTATTTTTTAACAGTAGTTCCTTTTTAATATTTTCTTTTTCTTCTGGAGAAAATCTTATTTGTTTTATTTTGGCTAGAATAAAAGCAGTTTTTATTTTTTAAAACCACTTAAAGGTCAATAATATTAGCCCCCTTAGGCTATACATTTTTGATTGTCCACAGAAGACTTGTCAAATTACCTTAACTTACCTAGTTAAATTTCACTTTAAGCTGTAGAGAAGTGTCTTGAAAAATATCTAGTCAAATATTATTTATTGTCGTCATGGCAAAGATAAATCAGTTATTAGAAATGAGTTATTAAAATTATTACGTTTAGAAATGTGTTAAAAAAAAACGCTCTCTATTAAACAGAAAATGGAGAAGAATATACAAATAGGGCTAAAACTTCTGGCTTTAACTGTACATGTAAAAAATCGTATCCTCTTGCCAGCTGCTTTAACATCATCTCTGTGTTTTTGTGTTCAGGGCTGGATTGCAAACGTGCGAGGAGGTTCCTTCTCTTCTCAGGGCAAACACATCAAATCCAGCTGCAGCCTCGTGGCCTTCAACACCGATCACGCTGGTATGAATAAACAACATCTTCAACATTTACAACACTGAGAAGCCTGTCATCATATTAGATGTGCTTTCTTCTGAAGGATCATGTGACACTCAAGACTAGGGCTGCACAATATGTTGGTATCTTAATGTGTGTATACTCAATAGTCACATCGCAGGATTAGATTGTTTATCAAGCATTAAAAGATAAAGAAGGGTGGCACGGTGGCTCAGTGGTTAGCACAGCAAGAAGACGGCTGGCTTGAGTTGAGGCTGGGTCAGTTGGCGTTTCTGTGTGGAGTTTGCATGTTCTTCCTGTGTTTGCGTGGGTTACGTCTAGGTGGTCCGGTTTCCCCCTCAGTCCGAAGACATGCACTATATGGGAATTGAATAAACTAAATCGGCTGTATTGTAAGCAGGCCCGGATTGGCTAATCGGGAGGACCGGGAGAATTCCCGGTGGGCCGGTCCGTTTTTTGGCCGCGAGGGCCGGTGTCCCTAGTTCCAGAATCTGTTGCTCTCAGCAGTCACACTTTTTAAATTTATTTATTTACTTGACCACAGTCTTCTTATTCATTATTTTATCGCAACTCTTCTTTTTTAACTATTTTAATGATGATAAAACTTAGTTGTGTCTCCTTACTCCATACAGCTGTTGTGGTCCAGCGGTTAGCACGTTAGGTTAAGACTCTGCGGGCCCGGGTTCGATCCTCGTTAGAGTTATGTAATGTTTTCATTTTTATTGTTAAGACATATAATACTGTTAGGGTTGTTGGACATTTGAAGTTCTAAAGCAGCTGTTTTCTCAAAAAAAAGATGTGATAGTGTCATTAAAAACTGAATTGGAAATGACCTTATTTTAATATAGTCAGTCGTGAACTGAGGTGGGCCGGTCTGAGGCTTGAAACTCCAGGGCTGAAAAGGAGTCCCACTCCGGCCCTGATTGTAAGAGTGTGTGTGATTGTGAGAATGTATGTGTGTCCCAGTACTACGTTACAGCTGGAAGAGCATATGCTGTGTAAAACATAGTTGGCGGTTCATTATGCTGTGGCAACCCCTGTTAAATAAGGGACTAAACTGAAGGAAAATTAATGAATGAATAAAAGATAGTACTATTTTAAAATCATTTCTACAATGATGAACATGTTGTTTTATGTTTGATTGTTTAATTTCTGTAACCGGATGCTCTCCAGAAAACCTTAAAGCACAGTTAATTCTTACCTCCAGATAGTGTGACCAAGACATCAAAAATAAATTTAGATCAGTTGAAAAAAGGTCGCCATAGTTATGATGTGGCGTGCGTCTGTTCAATACAGCACAAGCTGCACAGAGCAAGAGTCACCTGACATTAGGCAAGTGGCGTTGGCAGCCAAAACATTTGGGTATGTTTGTAGAAAAGGCCTTTTGTACAATGCACTGATATCATTAATAGCGATGGAATGATTAGCCGATTTCACTATTAACTCTGCTTTTATTCATTAAAGGCTTCTCAGCGCCACATTTCTGTTGCATGGAACAAAACTGCTGCAACTAAACAAAGTTATGCCAATACACACACACATTAGATTAACTACAGTATAGCGGCAAGTCGTTGACATATTGCGTCTTTTCCGCACGCAAGTACATTATTTCTAATGGAGACCTGCGCATATTGGGAGCAGTGCGTGCACGGCTCGTAAATGGACCTTTGCACTCGCGCCCTGCAGGTGCACACAGTAGAAATGATCTAGCGTTGTAGTGGTGAGAGTTGTGCTTGGCTTTTAGTGCAATGTAAACAAAAATGTGTTCGACTAACAATTACGAATTATCCGCTTGTTAAGTGGTGACGTGTTTGTGACGTATGTAATACTGTTTCCGGGTCCAAGCCGCCACTCATTTGAGTGGAGAAATCATTCATTTATGATCACGTTTTATTCCTATCACACATTAAAGTTAATTTTATATAAAATCATAGTGTACACAACAATCTCTGAGCTTGCTGCATAACAAATACCAAAAGTTTAACAATTTATAAAAAATATCTATGAGATCTATGAGTCTCCCCGTTCAGTTGAATAGAGCGCTTTGACCCGGAAGCCGATTCGCGTGACGTCACACTTAACAAGCTTAACTCATGGGTGTTCTGGTCTTTTAATATAAAGCTTAAACTAACAATGGACAAATGCTATTTTTTAATTTATTCTTATTTTTATTTATTTATTCGTTCTTCTGTCATTTATTTTTATTGTAAAATTATCAATCATGTTTAAATCAAAAACTTTTTCATTTATTCTTAAGCCTAAGGAGAGAAATGGACTATTGTTTGTTTTTTTTAATAAATATTTTGTGCTGTATTTGGTTACTGAGCAGCAATAAAAAAACACTTTAAAATATAAGCAGTTTTGTGATTTTTCTAAACTAGTAGAGTTTTTAAATTTAATAAATGCATAATAATGGTGATAACCTTGATTATTCTTCAGACTATATAATCGTACAACCAAAATCTATAATCGTTGTATCCCTAATTGTTACGCAGTTTAAAACATAAGATGTGTCTGAATGTAGAAGAAGCCTACTTAAGCAATACACAGATTTTGTGCTTCGAAATGCAACGTTTGGATATGCTTGTAAAAAAGTAACATTGTATAATGCAGTGATGTTATGTAGTTTCAAAATACAACACATTAACGTTTTAATGTAGAAAAAGCCAACGTGGGTGTCTTAAGGAGCACAAATACAGCATATGGGCTCTTATATGCTCTTGTGTCATCACTTATATTGCAAGTCATATCTCTCCGGCCCCTCATTTGGAATGGTTTTCATGAACTGGCCCCCATGACAAACCAATTGAATAACTGCCATAGAGCAAAACAGATGGGAAAATGCAAGTTTGCGTACTCCTGGTTGGAGAAAGACGAGTTTAAACATTGCCTGTCGCTGAAAACAATGGCGTAATTTATTCTTTCAAGCTTATCCGAGTTCTGTTGCACGGATGTGCTCCATTTATTTAACTGCAACCGTTTATTATTAGCAACTGTTTATTAAGTTAAAGGTTCGATACTGATTTAGAACTTGAAGTGGCGATGAAGTCTTCAAATATTCTGACAAGGTCTTTAAAAAGTCTTGAAAAGGTATTGAAATTTGCTTTAGAATTCCTGCAAATACCCTGTTTAAACCCATTCCTGAGCGCAGGGTCTCGCTTTTTTTTTTTTAAGACTCATACGGTGTGAATGAGCACTAAGAGAGAAGATTTTCTTCTTACACACACACACACACACACACGCACTCACACATGCTCGCATACTTTTATGCATATTTAACAAGGACACTCATGGGCAAAATGTATTTTATACGGTATTACTCCCTTTAATAGAATACAACATAAACCTGTGCACACACACGCACACAAAAAAGCTGTTATTTTTTTTAATTCTGTGGGTCTTTGTGTTCCAAATAGAAGTTCTGACCACTGTAGTAAGATTTTCTTCTCGCACACATACACATACATGTAAATGTGTATACATTGTTAGTTGCTGAGTCTTTAACGTTTAAACAAACAGCTGGAAAATGATCTCATCAATGTCTTGACTTGGTCAGTAATTATTTTAGTGTACTGTAGTGGTCAGCGCTGCTGTTTTCAGTCTGCTGTAAATGGCAGCACAGAGGATTGTGGGATATTTGCTCGCACCTGTCCTAGTCTAATCTAAATGAATGAAATGTTTGCAAATAGAGCTATTTGATTAATTTGGTGAAATTCACAATATATACACTGTAAAAATGCTGGCTTCCACACCATCTATTTGCGTTAAGGCAACATGAAGGAATTAATTTAAGTTATTTTGTTTTTTACAAATTAAAGGAGCTTGAATATAAAACAATTAAGTAGTCACACAAAAAACCCTCAAGAATTCCAAGAGTTTCAGATCATTTTAAATGTGTAGTGTGAACAAACAGCAAACATGATTTGTATAGTGGATCACAGAAAAACAAAATATCGCAATGTCAGATTTTTCCCGACATCGTACAGCCCTACTGAAGAATGTATGAAGAATGAAGTAATGATGCTGAAAAAGTAGGGCTTATTACGCCCCACGTCTAGGGGAAAACAACATGGGTATAATAAATGAAAAAAAAAAAAAGTTGTGGGTGGTGGATTTTCTCTAAAAGTACATCATATCAAAAGATGATACTTAGGTTTTTATTCTAATTGGGTTCATATAAGCCCAAATAGCAAAGAGAAATAAAAAATGCATGTAAAAAAAACACCTTGGGCCTCAAGAGAGGTTTAAGAAGATTTTGAGCTGAATTAGTGGTCCTTGGTGATTTATAAAATGGTGGTAAATGGTGACCGGTTTTTAGAGTCAAAATAAACCCATACAAGTGAGTCCAAACCAATAGCCGTGGTCCCTGATGAAACGCCGATGAAACGCCGATGAAACACTTGTGAATCAAAACGATCGATCCATGTTAGAAATTATTATTATTATTATTATTATTATTTACAATATTTTCCCCTCAATATTGTACAACCCTACTCTGAATTATTGAAAACAATTATGTTTTAAATTTCAGCTGCAAGCAGCAATGGTCGGGGTCCATGCATTTTTTTTAGGGGTAAACTCCAGTTTCTTTGTTTTTCTCACTGTATCCTTTATGTAAATTTAAATAAAGATAAAAAATCTTATTATGATGTGCAAAGTTGTGTATATTTCACAGCACACAATAAAAGAAATGTGCAAAAAAAATGCAGCAAAACTCAAAACCAACAAAATCAGTTATTTTAATTGCAAAAATCTGATAAAAAAAAGAAATTGCAACCATTGAGGGTCTGTTCACAGAAGAATGTTGGAGAAAAACAACCAAAAACCACTGGAGTGTGATGAAAGAATGTGAAAAGTTGCATTTTTGGGTGAACTGTCCCTGTAAATACACTAGCATTTGATCATCTTCTGTGCTTGGACCCATAAATATATTACAAAAGAATAGTAGTAATATTTTAGATGGTTTATTTTTTTATCAGTTGTTTAGTATCACTGCTCAACAGATGAAAAAGAGCCACAGTAGTGTCTACAGTAATGTTTATTAATGTGCATTTCCCCTGTAAACGAATAAATTAAAGTAAAAAAAAACATCTGAGCTCTTCTTGTGACAAAACAGCGGCATAAACTGACTCTGGATCAGATGGGAGTGCAGGAGAAGCAGTCTGGAGTTTTGATCTTGTCTGCTTTGTCTCTGCAGGAGGAGGAATGGTCGGTCTGTCCTCCGTGAATGCTGGGGCTGATGGGAAATGGAGTGTCACCCAGATTTCATGCCATGCTGGTACGACAACACTATATATACACATATACACTATTTTATATATATATATATAGTTATTTATTAATTAATTTATTGTTCTTATTGTTTATTTTTTGTTCTTTTTATTTATTTATTATTGTTTATTTTTTATACATTGTTGTTGTTTGTTTATTTATTTATTTATTTATTGTTCTTATTGTTTATTTTTTGTTCTTTTTATTTATTTATTATTGTTTATTTTTATACATTGTTCTTGTTTGTTTATTTATTTATTTATTTATTGTTCTTATTGTTTATTTTTTGTTCTTTTTATTTATTTATTATTATTGTTTATTTTTTATACATTGTTCTTGTTGTTTATTTATTTATTGTTATTTATTTATTAATTTATTTGTTTTTATTGTTCTTATTGTTGTTTATTTATTTATTGTTCTTATTGTTATTTATTTCTTTATACATGGTTCTTGTTGTTTATTTATTTATTGTTTATTTATTGTTCTTATTGTTATTTATTTCTTTATACATTGTTCTTGTTGTTTACTTATTTATTGTTTATTTATCTATTTATTGTTCTTATTGTTATTTATTTATTTGTTTTCCTCCATCACATGACAAAGTAAAACAAACACATATTGCAGGTTAATATACTGTGGTTAAAATTTAAACAATTTGTAAATGTTTAATTTTATTCCAAGGAACAAAAACAATTACGTTTTTCGCTTTTAGTTGAGTGTGGTACAGTAGCTCTGCTTCAGATGCTGTGTCCTCTGTCCTGCTTCCTGCTGCGTTAGGATTCACGCTTGACTAAAAATAATGCTGGATGCATGCGGCGCTGATGAGTTTGTCCTAATTCTGTTTGCAGACCTGGTGACGGACCTGGACTTCTCTCCGTTTGATGACTACCTGCTGGCCACGTGCTCCGCTGATCAGACGGTACACACACTATAGTCTCTAAACCACTGCATTATTAATATTATTATTTATTATTATTATTATTGAAGTATCAAATGTTTCTGCCCAGCTGTTTTATGCTCATTTAAGGACATTGCATTAACAAAATCCTGGATGCATTGACAAAATGTGCATAAATAAAATAAAACCCGTAAAATAAAAGCACTTAATTGAACGAACAAATGAGGGAAATAAGATTTTTTTTTTTTTGTGCACCCCACTAAATTTCAAACCCTAAATGTATTTCTGGTGTGTACTGGGTTTCAGTTTGAATGGGGAAGCTTTTAAGTTCTTCCTAGTTGAGTCTTTTAAGAATATGCACTGTTGCCATCAGTGTTTATTAATGCCATCTGCCGATGTTTGGTCTTTTCAACTCGACTGCTTAAAAAGCTAACCAAGACACACACACTTGCATGTTTACTTGTTGTGTCACCTCCAAAAAACAGCATTTTAGTCCTCATCTGCAAGGCCGCAGATGTGGAGGTTGGCAGATGCTGCTGTCTGTTTCTCATGTCTGGGTTTTTCTTTTTCACATAATGCGCAGTGATCTGAAAGCTCAGCAGAATGAAGACACACACACTCATCATCTGCTCTCCATCTGATGTCTGCTCTAGTTTAAACTGCACTCGTTCAGATCAGTCGTTTTAGCAGTCGCCTCACAGACGCACATTTCCCATGGAGACCGGAGACTCTGCCAGCGTACTATCAATACTTTTATTGTGACTTCAGTTCAGTGGCTGTAAAGGAATATCAGCTACGTCTTAAAGTAAATCTAAATATCTGAAAAGAAAAATCTTCTTACATTGTTTATAGATCCCGTGACTGACTGATTGATCGAAATTTAATCAACCAACCAAATCAATAAATCAATACGTGATTCAGTTTATTTTTTGTATTTGGATTCAGTTGTATTCATTTTTTAAATCTATTCAACTCTCTATCTGTTTGTTCCATCTGTCTGTCTTTGTCTTTCTGTCCATCATGTTGTCCATCTATCTGTCCGCATGCCTCTTTCCATCTGACTGTCTGTCTGTTTGTTGTTCCATCTGTCTATAATTCTGTCTGTCTGTTGTTCTGTATGTCAATGTCTGTCATTTTGTTTGTCTGTCATTCTGTCTCTCTGTTAATTTCTCTTTCCATTTAACCATCTTCCATCTTTCATTGAATTCATCTTTCCATCCGGATGTCTCTCTTTCCATTTGTCAGTCTGTAATTCTGTCTGTCTATCTATCCAATTGTCTGCCATTGTTATCCATCTGTTTGTTTCTCTTTCCATCTGTCCGTCTGTCTGTCTGTAATTTTATTTTTCTGGGCTCTATTTTAACGATCTAGGTGCAGAGTCTAAAGCGCATGGCGCAAAAGCATTAAGGGCGTGTCTGAATCCACTTTTTCTATTTTAACCATGGAAAAATATGCTCTGTGCCCTGGCGCATATGCTAATAGGCTTGTGGTTATTCCCTTAATGAGTTTTGGGTGTTTTTTTTTAGCATAACGTTCATTAAACCAGAGTCCCATCTAGCATTCCCTTGATGGGCCCTATCATACACACGGTGCAATAAGGCACAAGTAGTGTTTTCACAACGTGTTGCTGGTTTCAGACCAGCGCAACCCTAATTTTCACGGATTCTACCATTGTTTTAAAAGCAAATCCATTTGCGCCACTTTGTGGACTCATGGGTGTTCTGGTCTGGAAAAAAGGGGTGTTAAGCTGCATTGTAGGCGTTGCTATTTTGAGGAACTTAATTAGACTGCACAATGATCTAAAGTCCAGCGCAGTGCGCGTTAGTTGTGCGCCTCGCTTGCACATTGCTTAAAACATGCAGGATGTACAGCAATACACAAATATCTTTACAAATGATATTGATATTGAATAAAAAATAACTAAAGGACTAAAATATTAAAAAAATGATTATTTTCTACATAAATATAAAAACCACTGCCCTCATGCCTTCACCTCGGGGTGCTTTTTCAGCTTATTCATGACAACTTGCTTCTGTATAATGTTATTATTGTCATCATTAGTATTATTTATTATATGCATATTTGTGTTTGTTTTAATAAAAACAAGCTCATAGATTTGTCCACCTGTCAGATTTTGGACCATAGGACGTGTGTTTGTGTAAAACTTTTTTAAACACACTTCGTTATTATTGTTCATTCATACGTTTGCTGGAAATTAGAACTGAATTTATAAATAGTTTTGAAATAAATCTTTGCGCTTAACAGACGAAATTAATTATGTAGGCTAATGGATCTTCAGTGGAGTGCGTACAACACCGTTTCCTTATCCACGAAATAGAAAGTGAAAGTAAAGGCCGAATGGAGGAGGCTCATTCTTTATCCTTGCACTGCAGATGCTCTTTTTAACTGTTTTCTTAACTGTTTTGAAGTGCTCAGTTTTTCCACTTACAAAGTCCACCATGTAAAGAGCAAATGCACCATGGAGTGACGTAACAGACTCTTAACGGGAATGGTAGACTCTGATTGGTTTATTCTCAAAACACACCTATAACTCATTAAGAGAATAAGCTCAACCCTGTTAGATCATGCGATGCGGTGCAGATTGTATTTTTCTGTCCTTAAAATAGCAAAAGTGGATTCGGACACGGTCCTAATGCTTTTGCGCCCTGCTCTTCAGACTTTTTGCCTAGACCAAGAGTGCCCAAACTCGGTCCTGGAGGGCCGGTGTCCTGCAAAGATTAGTTCCAACTCCAATCAGACACACCTGGACTAGCTAATCAAGGTATTACCAGGCTAACTAGAAACATCCGTGCAGGTGTGTTGAGGCAAGTTGAAGCTAAAATCTGCAGGACACCGGCCCTCCAGGACCGAGTTTGGACACCCCTGGCTTAGACCATTAAAGTAGAGCCTTAAGAGTCCGTTGTGTCACTCCATGGCGCATTTGCTCTTGACATTGCGGACTTTGTAAGAGGAAAAATTGAACGCTTCACCAGCGAGAAAACAGTTAAAGAGAGCATCTGCAGTGTAAGAATAAAGAACCAGCCTCCTCCATTCAGCCTCTTTACTTTCTCTTTAACTCTTTACTCCTTTACTTTCGTTGATAAGGAAGCGGTTTTGTACGCATTCCACTGAAGACATCAATTAGCCTACATATTTAATTTTGTTTGTTAAGCTCAAAGATTTGTCTCAAATCTATTTCTATATTCAGTTCTAGTTTCCAGCAAACGAATAAATGAACAATAATAACGAAAAACTGAGTTATATCCAAACACACGTCCTGTTCTTATGCTTCATATGGTGATGCATACGTCTCCATAACCCGACAGGTGGACAAATCTAAGCTTGTTTTTATTATACAGCTGGTGACTGTGGCACCGCAAATATGCAAATTAGAATGTTAACCTGGCGTTCAAGAATGTGCAGTCTGAAACGTCTGTTAAGTATACTCAAGATTATTTATTAACCTCAGGTATAGTATGAAATGTGATTACAGATAACTAAGGATTTCGCTTATCCTCGGTTTAAAATGATCCTAACAGTTAGAACAGTGTAATACTGTGTGCGTGTTTGTGTGTTCAGGTGAAGCTGTGGCGTTTGTGTGATGTGGATCAGGATCAGCCCAGTAATGCAGAAATGACTCTGAGTCCCGCGGACGGTCGGCTGGAGCTGCTGCTCTTCCACCCGGCAGCCTCTGCTCTGCTCGCTGTCGCCTCTGCTGGAGGAGTTCAGCTGTGGGACATCACTCGAGACTCTGCCCTGACAGGTGAACACACAAACACATGTATATATATAAATACACACACACAGACACAGATGTGTATAGAAATACACACACACAGATGTCTCTACAAAAATACACACACACACACACACACACAGATGTATATACTAATACACACACACACACACACACACACACACAGATGTATATACTAATACACACACACACACACATGTATATACAAAAATACACATACACACACACACACACACACACACACACATGTATTTACAAATACACACTCAAACACACACACACACAAAACTCAATCGCTGCTGATTTTCTCTTGTCTTCAGTTACTCTGTGTACATTTAAGCCCTATTCAGACGATCACCTTTGATCAACTTTTATCCATGAGGATACTAGGCCCTAGTGTATTTTTATAGTTATTAGTACGTTAACAGGTATAATTTAATTTATTTTAGTTTAATATTTTGTTTTACACTCACTGGCCACTTTATAAGGTGTAGGATAGATCCATGCTTTCATGGTGTTGATGCCAAATTCTGACCTGGATGTTAGGGAATGTTGCAGCAAAAATCGAGACTCATCAGAGCAGGCAACGTTTTTCCAATCTTCTATTGTCTAATTTTGGTGATCCTGTGCGAAATGTAGCCTCAGTTTCCTGTTCTTAGCTGACAGGAGTGGCACCCGGTGTGGTTTTCTGCTGCTGTAGCCCATCTGCCTCAAGTTTGGACGTGTTGTTCATTCAGAGATTCTCGTCTACATGCCTCGGTTGTAACGAGTGCTTATTTGAGTTACTGTTGCCTTTCCATCAGCTGGAACCTGTCTGGCCATTCTCTTCTGACCTCTGGCATCAATAAGGCATTTGCGCCCACAAAACTGCTGCTCACTGGATATCTTCTCTTTTTCGGACCATTCTCTGTGAACCCTAGAGATGGTTGTTTGTGAAAATCCCAGTAGATCAACAGTTTCTTAAATACTCAAACCAGCCTGTCTGGCACCAACAAACATGCCATGATTAAAGTCACTTAAATCGCCTAAATGCATGAAGTTGGTGCCATGTGATTGGCTAATTAGAAATTTGCGTTAACAAGCAGTTGGACAAGTCATGTGTACCTAATAAAGTGGCCCCTAAGTGTAATCTTTAAGTTTTACTAATTTTAGAATTGAAAAAGCTT